TGGCTTTAGACATCAACAGAATCTGTCCAGAAGGAGAAGGGGCCAGGTGAGCAGGGGGGAGCCCTAAGGTCTGGCTTTGGTTTTCTGAAAGGCAAGGAAACAAAGGTTCTGAAAGAACAGAAAACTGTCAGAGGTCCTCGGCTAGGAAGCCAACACCCACCTGGTCTCCACTGTAAACGTGTATCTGTGTGTGCAGACTCATTTTCCTGGTTCCGCTCCCTCTCTCACTGCAACCATCCCACAGGGGAGGCTGCACCAAGGCCACCTTCCGAGAGGCCTCCCACACCCATGTCTTAGAGGCTCTTCTCCCCCCCTCTACCCTCCCACCCCAGCCCCAGCCCCAGCAAGGGGAGGCCCCACTTTCCCCCCAGGACAGGTGGCGGGATTTAGCCGGGAAAGAGGATGGCAGAATCATTTTCTCCCTGAGCAGCATCCTCCGAGGCGCTAAGCCTTAGAACTGAAGGCCCAGACCTGATCTTCTCCTTTTCCCAGAGATGAGCTGGTGACATCATCTTCCCCAGAAGTCACACACTCATGTTTCTTGGTGACAAATGACTCACTGTTCACATTCACTAGAACATACAGGGATTCAGGAAAAACACAATCAGTTGACATGGACACATGGGGGCCAAGCCAACCTGACCCTAGAGATAGGGGAGAAGAGACCAGAGGACCAGCTCTGCTGGCAGTCACAGTCCCTCAGGCCCGCAGGGGCCCAGTGCACCCCCTTGTTTCGTGGAAGGGACCGCTGATGTAAAGAAACTTATCAGTGAGGCGATTCAGCAGGAAGTGAAGGCTCCCAAGTTGGAATCCTTAGGGATGTGGCGCTCAGCGTTTAGCTTCCTGGATTGAAGGTGCTCTTTCATCCCCAGAAACTCAATGTGCCCCATGAAGCTGAGCCCACAGGCGAGGGGCTCCGAGCAGCTGGCCCTTGAGCACAGATCAAGGTGAAGGACAACCCAGCGGTCCAGGAAGTAGCTGTTGTTGGTTTTGGCATTGGCCCCTGTCCCTCCTGTCACAACCCTCATTACCTGAGGCCAACCACCAGACCAGGCTCTACAGGGAGGCGGAGTAGCCTAGGGCCTAGGCTATTGGGGGTGGTCGAGCCCTGAGCCCAGGCCACCCAAGGCTGTGCCCTGCCCCTGCGGTGACTACCCAGGGAAACACCGTATAGCAGGCGTTTGCCCACCTTTATGGAAATAGGAAGCCTTTCCCCATGAGCCCCCATTCCTCCCAGCAGCTTTCCAGGGGGACAGGAGAGTGTGGAAGTACTCTGGACACTGTGAGGGCTGCCCCGGAATGACATGCTATCATCACCACAGGACATCTCTCTCACTCTGGAACGTGAGCTTGGTCCCCCCGCCCCTTACTCCTTCCCACGTTGCAGTTCTCGAGGCTCCACCTGTTACCACAAATGCTCAAGCCCCCAGAATGCCCATAATTCTCTAAACCTACTCAAAGACCAGAAGTTTTTAATTCAGAGCAAACTCTCATTCCCCTCCGCCTGTCCCCTCCTTTTTTTTTACAATTGAGCATTCCCACCCCTGACCCCGCCCCCCCCCCCCCCCCCTAAGATTTGGGATCAAAACGGACTTGAACCAAGCTCCCGTCCCAAATAAATGTTCACATTTGTTAACTGTGATGTCACTTGGGCCCTTTGCGCGTCACCGGGAACAGGAGATAATCTCCAATCTGGTAACTGCCCCTAGAGCCCGGGAAGGATTATTTATAGGTCTGGAAGCAAATGCGAAGTAGGGGCATTTTCCTTTTCCTTACGTACATA